CAGAAGATAAGGAAGGGGAGTGTTCTGGTGAGCAGGTAGGGAGAAAACCAGAGAGGCCATGCTGCTGTTGCTGTGAATGCCATTATATTTATATTAGCATTATGAACGCGAGAAAAATGTGGAGTGCACCTTTATTGGATTTATCATTCATAGTTTTATCTTCTTCTCTGGGATATATTTTAATAATTTCTTTTTCTTCCATTGTTCTTATATTTTGTTCTCATAAGTTAGTTTGTAAATATGAATTATTTATTATATTTGTCGATCATCTGTGCATATTTAGGTTTTGTTCAAGTGTTAATTCTAAACTTATTCTTAAGTTCATGTTGCATTTGCATTTGTCAGTTTAAGTCAGGGTTGTCCAAACTTTTTGCAAGGAGGGCCAGATTTGGTGAGGTGAAAATGTGTGGGGGCCGACCATTCAGCCTGACATTCTTTGAACCATTAACAGTAAATGCAAATGTACTATTTTATTAAAGACTAAACAAATAACTGCACTAATGTGAAGGGTGATACTGAGATCTTGACTGCATTATATAGGCCAGGTCTGGCTCAAAAACAGTGGTTTTGATGTGCAAGATGTCACGCAGGTGAAAGTCACTTAGTCTCGTCCTCACACGGTTCTTGTTAATGTTCATAACCGAGAATGTCTTCTCGCACAAGTATGTCGAACCAAACAAGCTCAGCATTTTCTTAGCAAATGTTCGAATCTCTTGGAACCTGTCTTTATCCAGCTGGCGGTAAAAGTTGACAAGAGGGAGCCGTTGGTGCCGACTGCGACACTCAGCGTCACACTGCAGCTCAATGAGCTCCAGCTGCAGGTGGTCTGGAGCGTCATCAGGGTCCACAGAGAAAGGAGATGAAAAAAGCGTGATCTCCTTTTCAATAGCTGCAAAATCCCAAAAGCGCTGTTGAAACTCCTCAGCCAGAGATGAGATGTCTGCTTCATACCTCTTTATTTGCGCACTCATATTGTTCTGTGGAAAACTGGTCATTATTTCCTGCAGCGATGGGAAATGTGTGGTATTGGGCTGCGTTTGTGACAGGTGCCTTTGGAAAAGTAGCAGCTTGGTCCCAAAGGCTTTGATATATGAATACAGTTGGCTTACCACTGCATTTTGCCCCTGAAGGCTCGTGTTCAGCACATTCAGATGTCGTGTAATGTCAACTAAAAATCCAAAATCAGCCAGCCAAACAGGATCAGATAGCTCTGGCATCGGTTGTCGCTTTGCCTCCTTCTTCGCTGACTTTGTTACAGACTAGGGTTGATAATCCACTTCGCTTGCCAGCCATGGCAGGTGCGCCATCCATAATAATCCCAGTGACTTTATTCCACGGTAGTTTCATGTCATCTACGGTGGAACAAACAGAAACAAATAAATCTGTTCCTCTTGTTTGGCCCTTAAGGCTCTGGAGGTCAAGTAGCTCTTCACTCACGTTCATGTCATTGTCCACTCCTCCCAAAAAAATCAATAACTGAGCGGTGTCAGATGCATCTGTGCTTTCATCGCAGGCTAATGAAAAAAAGTCAAACTCCACTCCTTTTGCCTCTGTCTCTTAATATCAGATGAAACATCTTCAATTCTCCGTACCACAGTGTTACGAGCCAGGCAAACATTGGCAAACTTGCTTCTTCTCAGGACAAATTTTCTGCACCATTTTCATCACACAATCTTTAATAAATTCACCCTCAGTAAAAGGTTTGCAGTGCTTGGCAATCAGCGTTGCCACCTCATAGCTTGCCTTTGTGGCATTTTCATTTGACTCACAGGCTCTTGTGAAAAAGTGCTGCTGTGCCGTTAAAGCAGCTTCCAGTTCCTTTAATTTTTTGCCGCATTCATTCCCAGTTAGCTTGTTGTAGTTAACATGTTTCGTCTGGTAGTGCCTCTTGATATTGAATTCCTTGAAAACAGCCACAGTTTCTTGGCAAATTCGGCAGACACAGTTGTTTCGTATTTCAGTGAAAAAATACTCCAATTTCCACTTGTCCTGGAAGCAGAGGCCCTCGCTGTCAACTTTCCTTTTTTTAGTTACAGTCGCCATTTTAGAAATGGCGACTTCTAAAAGCCTTGTGTCACAAGGGTCACGCAGCGAGAGTGCTGACTCAGGTCTACTGCCATCTTCTGATGCAATATAACCACCAGCCTTGAAGGAGCAGGAGGCAGCAGGGGACAGCTGCGGGAACCACTGTGCGGTGAAGGGAAAAATGCCAGCCGGCGGGGATGAGTGACAGGCTGAGCTGGCGGGGAGAAGAGGCCGCGGGCCGCTCAAAATTTGAAAACAGGCTGCAATTGGCCCCCGGGCCAGACTTTGGTTTAAGTGAAATTATAAATGGACTCTGACCCCTTCTTTCTGCGAAATACCTTATTTATGTCATTGTGGGCTGCGGTGCGTGCCAGGTGGGTTTTGAATATTTAAGTCCTTGCCATGGTTGTCACATTGTCCAAAGCTAGGGATTGTGGGTTGTATGCCGAGTAAAAAACACTTGCATAAACCACTGTCCCTGAATTTATTTATTTATTTATTTATTTAAAACATTCCTATGACACAACAAATCAGAGACAGAACTTGAATATTCTGAACCTGCCCAGCATGTTCTGATCATACAATCCAGGTCAGAAACTCAAGGACTGTAGGAATGTTGACTTATGGACCTGGTGTGCATGACTGAATAGCCCATAGTGGTTTATTTAATATTCAACGCCTGGCTGCACCTTCTCACTTTGTGCAAACCCAAGGACTATATGTTATGTGAGGGTTGTTTAAACCATAGTGAGCTGTTTTGATCACACAAACTGGCCTGAGAGGTACAGGATTCTAGGACTACAATCCTAGTTACACTTAATGGAAAACAGTTTCACTAAACTCCATGGTATTTAAATACAAGCAAGTAATCACACAGAATCCTGCAGTGTATGCTATAAATCAGGTGTCATAGAAACTCTTTTACCAAATAGTTCAATGGAGTGAAAATATTAATCAAGCTGTTAATTGTAGCTACTTAAGCTATGGTGTTTCCAATTGAATAGCGATATGTTTTGAAGTGGAGGTGCTCATGACAAAGTTTATAGACCCCAAAGTGATCCTCAAAATTCAGACAGCATTTTTTATCTGTATTTTAAAAAACAAACAGTTTGAGGCATTTTTTCTCCCCCTGGGAGGCCTTTTATAAAAGCTAATAGTTTTCAAGTGGCCATGCAAGACCAAGCCAGCCACAAATACCTTTTTAAATACATTTTTGCTGAGAAAAGCCATCCCCCACCCACTCCAGCTGCTGAGATGACTGCAGTTTGAAGCTAAGCTCAGAGAGAACAGGAAAGCCTGAAGGGGTGGCAGATAACATTGTTGCCCCTGTTTATAAAACAACCCTGCTACTTCAACCCAGCAAACCCTGGCACCACTACGCCATTCAGGTTGAGGTTTCGGCAAGGGGCAGCATAGAAATGTTATAATAATAATAATAATAATAATAATAATAATAATAATAATTCATTTCTGTATTGTATAGGTCCTATAGGACATGCTGCAGAGTGCAGGAACATGTTGCAAAGGTGAGGCTACAGTGGTTGGTGATGATTATGAAATGAATGATGAATGTCAAAGAAACATGGCTGAACTGGGATTCTTTTTTTGGGTGGGGGGCAAAAGTAAGAGGTTGCAGAAAATCAGCAGAGACTTTTCCGTGAGAACTGTCAGAATGGAACAGTCCTCTTTCAAACATGAAGGCAGGCAGAGGCAATTAAAACATACAAACCAAAATTCATTCCCAGTCTTCTTCTCCATCTTCTTTTTTTTTTTTTAAGGGTCAGATAACTACTGCAGGAGGTAGGGAAAACAATCTGCAGTTAGCACTTAATGCCGATTAACTACTGCTTAAGAAATGTTAATCCTGTTGTATTCCCGAACTAAGGCTTGGCTTATATACTGATTGCACAAGCAAAAGTTCCTTTTATCATGTATGTAGGTGAGATGAGTGCTGCATGAAAGTGGAAGTATGATTTCTGAGTTCCCTCTCCCTTTTTTTCCTTTTAGGGGAGATGTTTTTTCTACTGTGAATTCTGATCCTGTAATTAAAATTAACAACAAGTTTCACAAATCAAAATCTCTAATAATTGCAGAGTAGGAACTAACTACAGAATTAGTTGCAGAAAACATTAAGCACTTATCTTTCAGAGAAATAGAATTAATCAAATTATCAAAGCCTGTATTAATGCAAGCAACTGTTATCTGACCTTAGTGTGTTATATCGGATATGCACATTTACTTGGAAATAAGCCTTGTTGAACTCAGTTGGGCTTATGAGAAAACATATTTAAGATTTCGCAGTTAAACCCTCAGAAACACTGATACTGCAGTTCTCCTTAGAGGCAATAGATGTCAGTGTGTACAACTTACCCTGCATTTTATACAAACTCATTGAAAATAGTAGGTTCTCTTGGAATCAGATGGCCATATAATAATAGTTCATTTCTATCCTGCTCCATAGCCAAAGCTCTCTGGGCAGTTAGCTGTGGTTAGATCAGAGTGCACACTCTAGTACGTGTAACATGTTAGGCCTCATAAACATACAGTAGGAGATACTACTGGTACATGCATAACTGGGAAGAGTTATGTCACTCTTGTGCAGAAAAGGACCTTGATTTAAACATATACCGTTAACTTATTGCTATCCAAGCTAGATAGATAAACAGATCAGAATGCATGTCACTGTTTCATTTATTTCTTACATTTTCAATGTTATGCTTTCATCTGTTTTTCCTTCATAAATATTAATTTGCCTGTTCTGCTCTGAATTATACTGAAGTTCTGACCAAGACTTTCAAAAGCATCCATTACTTTTATGCTACTTCAGAGAACAGCTCTTAGAATGTTGGCAAATCCTCTTGTTTGTGTTAAACAAGTAATTTTACCTACTTGGAACTAAATATGTCAAGGTGAACAGAAGGTAGAAGGTAGATCTGAATGTTCTCATAGATTTCCGTATGATTTGAAGTAGATCAGCAAAGATTTCAAACTCCCAATAGCAGCACCAATGTAACTTTCAGCACTGTCTACCCTAAATTATGCATCTGAAATAAAGAAAGTTTTGGGTAAACAGGGCAAGTTCTGATCTGGTACTCAGAACAAATTCCTGGATTCAAGATTCTTTAATTCTAATTATATGTCTTTTGCATCAGGCTCCGGTAAGTGGATCTCAAGGTGTACTTAAAAACTAAAATAGGTCATGCAAATCTGAAATCTGCCCATCCCTGAAATGTGTTATACAGTTAGTCATAGCTTGCTTGTCTTTGTGACTTAACAAGGGACAAACTGAGCACAAGAAGGATGTTGCCCTGTGCTGGTTTTAAGGAAAGCAAGACCAGGATATCCTTTATCCACAGATACATGTGGGGTTACAGACATTTTTAAATGAGCAGACAGGATAGAGATAACAATATTCTAATTCAAATAGGAACAGGTGATGTTCCTAGATAGGACCAGAAATCATCCTTGCATGAAAGAAGAAATTGCTTATGGATGTGTCAGACAGATGCACTGCAGTCACTTCTCCTCATAAATACAAACCAGTCAGTTGTAAATCTTTTTGCCTGGGCAACAAACCACTTAGTTAATCATCACTGATTGGCTTCCTTATGCTTGCTGCTTCTTGCGGACTTCTTGTCCCAGTCTTGCCACCTTTGCTGCACGACTCAGTATGCCACATTAGCAGAGCTATCCATTAAGCAAGAGATCAGATTGTACAACAAAACAGACTATTGCTCTCACACCAGTCAGGGACCAAATGAGTGGTTTTATGGCTGGTGTGGGCACTCCTCACACTTCCTGGCCTGTCGTCAGGGCCTTCTGATCTGAACGGGGCAGGGGTGTGTACAACTTCCTCTTCATGGGTCCAGTTCCTGGATCAAAGAGGTGCTGCACCTCATTACTGGGCTTCCACTTGGTCACACAATTGCCTCTGATCTTGAGATGCTGGGGATGATCCTGATGGATCTGGGGTTGATTGTGTGTGCAAGAAAATGACTGGCCAAGCCACAGTGATTTCTCCTAGTTTAAGCATGATTTTTTTCAGGATGATGATGATCTCAGGAGAAGTCACATGCAACTACATAATTTTATATGTAGCTGCATGTGTACTCTAATAATCTTATGGGATGACCCATGTGTATTACTTTTGCTGTGAAGCACACAATTCGCATTTTTCTTCCACTTGCTTTCAACAATCACTGTTGCATGCATCACAACTACTTCACATTTCTTATGTGTTACAATATTTGCCAATTCTGATTGTAAAAGAAGCGTGCTGAGCATCTATAGCTGTGCATTTTAAGCTTGCTTAAATCATGGCACCACTGGGAATAAAATGGAGTTTGCTTCTCATATTCTCATCACCTGCCAATCCCAGAGAAATAAACTGAGGCAGGGGGGCTGGGCTGTGGGCCCCTGGATTTTGGCCCCACTGTTTATTAGTATCCTCTGGCTAACCTTGAACCCCATAACTATGACCAGTCATAAGATCTTCCCCTGGGGTTTGATCCAGTTTTGGTTTGGTCATGTCAGGAAGGTGGTGGTGCACAACATTAAGAATTTAGGAGTCTTGTTGCTTTTTTGCTTCCCTGACAGATGTTTTAATGAAACTTTTCCAAATGTTTTGAACTCAGGACCTTCTTCTAAACTGAAGCTCCTTTTGAGAGCTTCCTAAGCACCAGTGTTGGTTATATATTAAACAGGCGAGCTGTGTTACACATCTATTACACTGAATGGGTTCACACAACATGATAACCCACACTCAGAGTTTTCATATGCATTAAGTGTGGCTTTTATTGAATTGTGGGTTGTTGAAA